CCGGGATTCGGAGCATCTGATACCGGCTTATATATCAAATACTTCTCGAGAGTATGCAACCCATCCAAAAAACGATTAGTCGCCGACCCTTTAATGGTCGGCGTAAACTCATTTGCTTCATTCACCCATCCAGTCGCCGGCCACTCACTGGTCGGCGAAACTTCACGTATGAGTTGTACAACCTCCGAAACATTGAGTAAATCTGAGAAACTTTCATGTATGTACACCAACGCCCAAGGGCTCCTCAGTAAAATTAACGAACTTCGACTACGTCAGGTTGCGAATGCTTGGGACCTAATTTCTATTACCGAAACTTGGTTGCATCAAGAGGTGACTGATGCTGAGGTTGAGATAGCCGGAATGTCACTCATCCGGAACGACCGCCCCAGCAGAGGAGGTGGGGTCCTACTCTACTACCGCAGCAATCTACAATGTACAATAGTTGAGGACCTGGAAACACACGTTACCGACTCACTCTGGTGCCGTCTCCGACTGAGACACAACGATACATGTCTCATAGCTATCGTTTACCGCCCCCAACATCCACTCTGGAAATGGATTCCTGCTTGATCTGTGGCCTAAACAGAATAACACGCACTAGGTACAGCCACACTCTCATCTCCGGGGACTTCAATCTACACAATCTGGAGGTTTCGGCATCGCCCAGTGAGCAGTTCAAAGCAGACTTGTAGGAACTGATCGCTAATATTCCTTTGTACAATCACGTCACCACGCCCACTAGATTCAGGACAGCAAACAAACTGGTGTAACCGTATTTTCTTTTTATAGCATGTTTAAGTACTATTGAATTTAAATTATTAGTCTTACCAAACTAAAATATAAACAATCAACGTCTCCTCAGTGAGCCTCAGTAAAACTATCAGACGTTAACCGGTCCTCGGTGATAAAAAGGTTAGGGACCATTGGCCTAGTGGATGCAACTGTTGGACACTGGACGTTTGCCTATTAGCTTTCGGGGTTGACCGAGTTCCGAAAAGTACCATTGATAAGACTTCTATCTAATCAAGTATATTGGCGGCACTCAGCGAAACTCTTGACTGTAGGTGGAAGCGTTCCACCATGCCATTTGCGTCCCGTTGCATGGACAACCAAGAACCTTAAGTCTATCATTAAAAGTCGTAGGTTCGAATTACGCATCACTGTCAGTAGTCACAGTGGCAGAACAGCCTTGTGAAGCGACCCACCGCTCGGCGATTGCGCGCGTGCTGGTCTCTACAGAGACCTCCGTGATGGGAACTGCTTCAGGCCAGTAAATGGCACGATCCCTCGTATTCTCTATGTAGACCACGTTTTTGAACGGTGGTAAAAGTCCTACGATGTTGAAGTGGACGTGGATGAATGGCGTTGGTACTCATGGGAAGCGTCCAGTCGGAACAGCGATGTGTCAATACACTTTTGCTCTCGCAAGTCAGACGATTGCGTGCCCAGTGTCTGGCTTTGCGCTACATATTGGGCTAGATGTGCCTGCCGGAATTAACCTTGACTGAAGTCCGCATACCAAGATGCGCGATGTTGTGTAGCCTATCGAAATCCATTCGTCGGAATACGGTAGGCACAAGTGGACGTGGACGCTCAGGGGAAATGTCGCAGAACGTTGGGCCAACAGAAAACGGAAGTGCTTTCGTAACCAGTCTCAGTGAGGACTTTTCGCAGGACTCCAGAAAATTTTCGGTCTGCTTTTTAGTTGCCATAGCTGACATCGATCGGTTGATTTGTCGTAGCTAAGGAGTTTACTGCTGAGGGTATACCGTCCATGACGTTGTACTTGTCATGTTGGACGTCCGTCGAAAACTGGGAGACGAAATCCAGATGATGAACTTCATCTGGAGACTATTGACTCGACTGGTTGCGGAAGGCGCACATTGACAGCTTATAATCGGCGAAACTTGTGAACTGATTGTCGTGTGTGTCGGAAGTGGCGAACATCAGCATATACGGCGAGCAACTCGCGGTCAAGTGTGCTGTACTTCCTCTACACTGTCTGCGATCGTAGAGAATACCTGCGGTTGCGAGTTACTTTTGGAAGGCTGTTGATAAGCGGCGTCAGTTACGTTTTCCGAGGCATAGACGGCCAAATTGATTGGTGTCTCTGCTTCGAAGTGGTGCAGCGTGATAACCGAAGTTGATGCTTCCTTGCTTGCCTTTAAGACTTTTTCTCATTCGGGCGTGAAATCAACTTTATCACTGTTGCGTCCACGCAGATAGTCCGTGAGCGGTTGCGTCAGCTCGGTGCAGCACAGTAAAAGTCGGCGCTAATAGTTGTTCATGCTGTTGGGACGTCGAATGGCAGCTAACATGGTTGGATTGGGAAAGCCACTAATTGCTTGAACTCTATTCTACATAGGTCGGAATTCAGTTGGTGCACGAGGAACCCTCTAGTCGGCTGCAAAAAATGCATTTGTCGGGATTGACAGTGATGTTCATTTCTAACCGTTCGAACAGGTGCATTCGGTGTTCTTCCGATGAGCTGGCCACGGGTGAATAATTTCAATTCACCGTACGACGCAGTTGATGAAGCGTCGAACTGTCTACACAACGTTGCGCAGTCCGAATGGCATTCTCAGAGGCTCAAGCAGTCTGAAATGCCTGATGACAGCGGTCTTGGAAATATTTTTCTCGGCCACCGGGGTCTAGTGATGGACGCGCACCAGATCGATCCTTGAGAAGTGGCGGGAACCACAAAGACCAGCTGTGATATCCTTGTTATGTTGGATGAGATATCTGTCAGGAACGACCACATTAGTAGGCGCGCGATAATCTCCACATGGTTGCCATTCTCTAACTTTTTCGGTTCCATGTAGAGGTGCGATAACCAAGAGCAATTTGATGGTCAGGCGGTTCCAAGATTTAGTCTACTCGAATTATGCGCAAGCAATTTTGAGCTTGTCCGAGGTCGGTCTGTGGGTTTTCGCAAGAATGGGCAGGCCCTTAGTAGTTACGGTGCGGTGTGGCGCCATTTGCGTTTGGGAACAGCGAGGGGGCTAACAGACCTCTGAGAAACATTCTAGCAGCGACTTGTCGACCGGTGAGTCAGCACTTGAGTACACTGAGCTGAGCGACGCGATATCACTACATATTCCATTTATGGAAAGTTTCGTAGTTTGTTCGCTGAACCGTTAGTGTTTAATGTCGACCAGCAGATCGAAATATTGAAAGAACTTTATCCTGCTTTTGGGGTTTTGAGCTACAACGATGAAGAATATCCATCTTAACGACCGCGTTAAGCCGAAGCTGAGCATGCTGGGACGTTGATCGTAGATGGGGATGATCGTTCCATTGACCGCGCATAATGGCGTACCCGCCCTTTCGGTCGCATCTTATGGGCCGTGAGAGGGCACTGTCTTCCACGCCAGTATCGATGGTATAACGGAGTCCCGTTGCAAGGTCTGCGACCTTGATGACTTGCTACGCCTGTCGCTGTTACATCTTGTCCTGCCGATTTCCCAGCACCTGGTGAGCAAACGAGCAGACGGGGTCACAAGTTCTGGTCTTCCCAAATCGATGATAATATCAGCACTAAACAGTGGTTGGCTTGTGTGGAAACTTATAACGGACAGTACACACATGATCTCTAGAAGAGAACTCTCTGTTGCTTTGTGTAACAGATGAAGTACTTGCCGCATACACTGCTATAACCCGTTGTATGGGCTGGGCTCAGTAGTGTTTTGTATTTTCTTGATTCCTTGAGGACACTGTACGACGTGATCACCCATGCACATAAACACTGAGATTTTAGCAGATCAGATAGAAGTTTCAAAAGACTGCTCGTTTTACTGGAGAGCTTATGTTCGTATAGCTATAAAAACGCCACCGGTGTATGTTGCTAGCTGAGAGAAAAATGAACTCACTGCTGCTCGGTGCCGTCGGTCCGTTACGCATTCCAGGCTGGAGTCCACGTGACCCGCCTTGTTCTTGGCTCGTAGTCGACACCGGTGAATCGTCTGTTATTGTCTCCTATTCGGACTGCCTGTTTAGTGTGTTTGCTGCTGAGTTATCTGCATGATAATGGCTGATCATGACCTGGACAGTGAAAGCCGCGGGGAAGCGGTCTCGCCGATACTTCTAATTCCGGTTACCTCTCTTCTATTATTGAACAGGACATCATCCAACAAGTGGATCCCGCTGCACTTCATGCTTGTCGTATAACCGTTCACCAAATAGTCCGAAATGTTAAGATTGGCTTAGATTCTTTAGGAAAAATTATCCATGATCATTTGGGCACGCGAAAGGTGCTATCCCCAAGGGCTCCTCGGTTTCCCACACTTATTCGGAAGCAGGAAAGTGTCAGGTTCTCGGAATCCTTTGGTCACGTGACAGCGAAACCAGGATAAATTTCTCAGCAAACTAATTACACAAGATCCAACACGTGTCCGAGGTCACTGTGATCCAGAGATCGAGACCCAGTGAAAACAATGGAAGCATGTTTAATTACCAACCCCCAAATTGGCAGGTGTCCAGCCGGCAAAGTAATACTCACAGTCTTCCGGAATCAGCACGGAGTTACCTTGATGTTTTCTGCTCGCGAGGTAAAAAGGCATCCATTTTGGCAAAAATTTTGCAACATAGTATGCTCCAACCTTTTGCAAGAGTAGGTCAGAAACTTTTCCTATAGCAAGGCATATATTTAAGACGATTTTCCTCATATATTTAACTACAGTGACGTAGTCTATATCGCTTAACCGGCGAGTACTGAATAAACTATTGCATAGAAAGCCACACTGGTATTAGCTGAGTGGTTTCGTATATCATGAATATTCTGCTACGCACTCTTGACCCCTGCGTTCCATGACTTGGGGTCACTGAAAGTGTACAAGGCCGTTGGTTTTCGCACTTGGTGAATGAGGACTATTATCCATCGCTCCCATTGATCATTGCGAAAAATAATGCTTTGTGAAAAAATGTTTCGATATATGCTCGATCATATTCTACTAGGACTGGGGAATCTCATCTTGCCCGCGTCGACTTGACTTTGTTGTTGTATGTTACTGGGTTTGAATTTAATGGCACATAGTACGTTGCACCGTTGTCTTTAAGGATAAAAGTGTTATAACTGCCCTGTAAAAGCTTCCGCTTGAGGTATTAGTACATAGTTTACTACGCTGCCTTCAGGGCATCAGTCTAGAGCCATCTACCACTTTAATCTTTGGTACATTTTCCTCTCACAGGTCTTGCAAACGGTAGAATTGCGGGACCTGCTTGTGCTCGGATATTTGTTTATCGCTATGGATCTGGGCAACCGCAACCACATCACTTGGTAAGTGGCTTTTGTTCGATTCACTTTACACCTAACTAGTTCCTCCTGATCCCTGACTCTTTTCGGACCGGTTTGAGGCGGTCATTTGATATTGAAGAAATCGAAGTCGCTGATGGTCAATTCAATCGGCTAATTCGAACCTCTTGTTAACACCTTATCCGATTTATTCAGCCGTCAGCTGGCTTGCCGAACAACCTCCTCGTGGTGCCAGCTGGGTGGTTCGGGGTTTCCCCGTCGCAGCAAATGGTTCGGCGGCAGTGTTCCAGGACGTGGTGGGTTTTCGTCTGGCAAGCGTTCTCCCTATAAAAAGCCACATATGTCCGTTTAACAACACTGCGACGTGGCGGATGTGACTCGCCACCAACTAAAGTCACTGCCCCTTGCTTCACTCTGGTGGAGCATTGTATTCCAACATTCTGCTGCTGCAATGGTGGATAGGATTTCGCCCCACTTTGGCGACCGAACAAAAATGGTGCATAAATTAAACACTCGGTCGCCGGTTCACACTGGGTAGGATTTCCGACTTCGCCCCGCTGCCTTGCAAGTAGGCCATTCAGTCAAAGGTTTGGTGTGGTGTTCCTTAAGCCAGCTCCCTACTTCGACTTGGAGAGCTGGGTAGTATCGTGTCCTCCGAAGAAACCATGGATTTCTCACTCTTGAGTTCCGATTTTCACGATAACAGTGCCTCTAATGGTTTTTACTGACTCCACGTCTATATCGACTGTTGAAAAAATCGATGCTGTGAACTCCAAACACGTTGACACTTGATCCGATTCCAAGAGAACGAGAAGTCACTCGTGCTATTTGGCCTTCTTGGCCCTGGTGCAAATCTACTCCTGTGAATGACGGGTGTCATTTGGAACCAACTGGACGATAACACTTGCGTAAATCTGAGGACTATCCTTACCCCGCCGCAGTGCGACAAAGATTACAGCCGAGATTTTCGTTTGTACTCTGAATTGTACAGTGAATACCATCCCAGTTTCGTCGTTGCACTACCTCAGCCCGTAGAGGCATGTTATCCTGGGAACGATTAAACCTTCGAGGATTACGTATATTAAAGCAACTCTTTCAACGATTGACCGACCCTGACACCAGATGAGAGTTCCTAGGGAGGCCACTTATGGGACTGAAGGCGGCGCTATGATTAACTACCCGTGCGATCAACAGTGTCATCAAGAATTCAGTCGGCCGATGGTGGCTTTACAATATCATAAATGTCCTCTGTCGCAAAGCCCATAGATTAATCGTAGACCATTGCTCACTCCGCCCAACGACATCCTTCGTCTCACTTCCGGGCTATTCACTCATCCACGATAGGACTCTTCATATTGCCGGAGGTTCAGGAATGCTACGTACTCTTGCGTTTGCAGAATCCCGACCAAAGACGTACCCACAGACATTGTACCTGGTCGGAAGGTGAGCGTGCTTGCACGCCCACATTGCTGAATCTGTTTTGAGTAAGTGAAGCTTGCGATCATGCACCAATTGTACCGGAGAGTAACGCGTTACAATATGTGTCTTCGCCCTGTGCACCATCACATAGTCAACGGAAAGCTTTTGATCATTGTTCGGTGCTTATTCGATGTTGTACTGCTTTTTTAAATCTGGCGTTTCTTCTCTGGCGTCCATTCTTCGCTGCTCAAGAAATTCCTCTCACTTTCCGAGTATTGCAACAAAATAACTTTGCTCTTTGGTTGGAGGATCCGAGGAGACATCACCTTTTTCCCGTTTGGAGTTGTCGTCAATGTTTGTACATTTGTAGATTGGGTCTTCGGTCTCCGAATGCAGAGACTCAAAGGCTGTCTCATCTGTGATGATCACCAGATCTTGTCGTTAATTCTGCTGCTCTGTGGTTCTTCTGTCTCGTTTTCAGGTGCAATGTGCGTCGACTTTTTAAGTCCGTTAAAATTTTCGAGAGTCCATTTTCGATCGAAATCTCGAAATTTAACGCCAGCTTAAAAGCTTGATAATATTTCATTTGAAGACAAAGTTGTGAAATTGACGACTGTTTGGCGTAAGTCACAGCTGGGACAGCCTTTGAGTCCCCGCATTCGGAGACCAAAGATCCAGTCTACAAAGGTACAAACATTAACGACATCTCTAAACGGAAAAGAATTCGGTGTCTCCTCGGATCCTCAAGCCAAAAAGTTGTCATTTTTTGCAACACTTGGGAAGCCGAGAGTATTTTCAACTTTGAGGTCAGGTCCTTCACTCTTTGTGACTTTAAACATCTTTTGTGCGAACAGGCCAGATCTTACAGTCTTCGATTGGAACCTCTTGCACCGTGATGTTGTTGTCTCGGCCTTCCATAAATGATGTGGTCCGGCTCTGACCAGCCAACTAGTCGTTGTACAATTATACCTATGGGATGTCTGCATGCATTGTTGATGAGATTAATCTCTGCACGATTTTCAAACGGAACCCAGTGACTCTTTCGTGGAACACAGTGACGACGGTTGATCACTGCAAGTATGAGAGTGCTAAAGTTTTCTATGTAGCTTCGTGTAGAGTGGATATACTGGCCTAATGAACACCTCAGAAACTCATCCACAATGAGGTCGTCTCAAGTTGAGAGTGGACAACGGGCCTCAAAAGCTTTCTTCGGAGCACGTCTGGGACATTCCCAGTCAACTTCCAACTCACCTCATTCACGAGTGCCATCTGTCAGTTCGATTCGACGTGATACCACAGAATTGCGGACTATATATCTAGAAAACGAATGTGAATACTCCAAGCCGGAACAGTGCATCATGCGTTTGCACAATGGAGCTTGGTCTGAATGCTGCCACGTAGTCTAAATTGACCAACAATCTTGTACTAATTTGCACCATCTACGGCTGATGATAATACCGTCAAGTTGCGTGGATTTCGGCTGGTCCTAGGTGATGTGATGTGAATACTTGTGTTACTTTTTTGTGGGATCAAATGGAAATCTGAATCTGTGCTTCTTTATCGAAATATGATCAAAACGCTAAGATGAAGAACTATATCCGACTCATCAACACTCGTTTTTCATGTTCAATTATGATATCGTAAAATGTATAACTCACAGTGGCGTGGGACTCACAAATGCGCAATCTTATGGTCTGTAAGTAAGCTTTCTCTGAATCTCACTAGTGGAATGTGATTCCAGTAATATTATAAACCGGCTCATCCAGCTTACGTGCTGTAACAGACTGCTCCAAACACTGACACATCTCAGTACTAAGCACAGGTGTTAGAGAAGTTGCTTCAACTCCCCCTAGTGACCGAGTGTTTTGCGCGCCTAGTTTGCAACCATAAGATCACCGGTTCGAATCCGCGTTGGTGGTCCCGTGACAGCGAAGTGCCGTTACAGCATACAGCTGGCGATTTCTTTACTATTTTTATTTGCCACAAGCTTATATCGGTGTCTGCATGTGCTACCAGTGAATCAACGGCCTCACCATGAGCCAGTTACCGAGATTTGAGGCACGTTACTTTTTTGATGGGATCGGCCCGCACCTGGCGATGAGACATTCCTAGTCTCTCAGTCCGGTTTTCATATGACTAACCCTGTTAACTTGGGACAGGTCTGGTAGCTCGGACACTGGGCAGGGCAGCTGTTCTTTAGCATTGGTCTTATGATGAAGTATGGAAGACTAGTGGCAACACCTTTAGACCAAGTGTGGAAGCTACATTAAAACACCAAAGGCGTGAGCATTCTGCATCGGTATTCCCTGTTCGTGTTGTCCATGGACTTAAGACTACAGTGTGAAAGTACGCCTAGTCGCTTCACAGAGGGCGTGGGATGTGACAGTTAGCAGTCGGCGGTAAAAGTTCAGCCGTCGTTACTCTTTTCTTGGTTGATGAATACCGGGGAACAAACTGCTGCAGATAACACAAACGGGTGGCTTATGTCTTGGCGAAGTCGTCGAGAGTGCCAATTCCTTTCCATTTCATGTGATCGTCCGCAACCAGGGCACATGGCGACCGAAGAATTTGTAGCAAGTAAATACATAGTTTGTTGCTCGACGACACGATACCCTGTCCGTGTGGTTGCTCCGATAGCATTCTATATATGGATCGTCAAAAACGATTTTCGTCCATCTTGTTCACAAGAGGGGGCATTTTCGGAACGATTTTCCAGTGCGACAGCCCAGAGGAATATAAATAGATACCGACGGAGTTTGCGGATGACTCGGTGGTTTGTGTGCTGATACCTTCGGGCAGGAATGAATAATAATAATCATAATAATAATAATAGAGAGAGAGCGCAACATAGCAAGATATCCTAAAAATACACGTGCTTATCGTTAGACAGATGTACAGTACGGAGGCACAAATAAATACTGTAATGCGTCGTAAATTGTCACTGCTGCGTCCATTATTCTCTTTTCGTGTTGTACGATGAATGCCATCGCAATCGGATAACGAAATGTGTCTTGGGTAGTATTAGGTTAAGAACGTTAAAAACACGATTGATCCATTCATTCAAGCAACCGCAAAGTCCGTTATAATTTCAGTCGTTTTGCATCTGGGTGAATTTTTACTGTCCAGACAATAAAAGACGACAGCGATAAAAATCTTTGTTGACGTAGCAAAAAGGGACGGCAATCGGGGAGTGTTTAGAGCCACTGAAATGCGGCTGGTCTTCGGATCTACGTAGCTGTCAATGTTTTTACTTCCATAGTATGGCGATTCTGCCTGCATAAGTAATAGTTAGGGGACCGAAGATGGAAGCAAGGGCTTGAGGAGGAGATAAGAGTTTCGCTGGGCTGACTGTCAATGCGGCAGTGTTTACCACTGCCGCATAGCAGCCGTTGGAGCAAAGTGACCTCAAGAGAAAGAAATGATAGCCGAGGAAAGATGGGGAGCTAATGAGGTGCACCCGGTCTTCAAATGTACAAAGTTATTGATGTTTCCATCTTTGCACGTCAAGTACGGAAGTGTGTCAATTGCTATCTTGAGTTAGAATTACTGCTTACGTCCTGCAGAACCTGTGGTTTTTTCCTATTGCTACGCGTCAGGCCAACAGTTGGTGATAAGTTGAAAGGTTTATAACATATTGATAGAATGAAATATGAAACTTTTCAAATGCCACTTCTTTCGTGGTATTTTCTGTCAGCCGTTCAATAATTTTTCAACAACTAACACGCTGCAAGTCTTTTGGATTTCAGGTGGTTGGCATCCCTGCAACTTGGGCGGCAGCCTATTTCATATATTCGCTTAAAGTATAAGTTTTTACGTGCTTGGATTTTTCCCATTTTGTTTTTAATGGCTGGTCTGTTTCGAACACTATAGTTTGGCCCATTGAATTTCACATCCAATCTATGGGAACGAGCTCGCTTGCATATGTATGATAAGAGAGATATTCCGTTTCATCTCTCTGAACTGTCCTGGTTCAAACTGCAAGGACTTGCAGCGCTGTGCGTAAGACATTTGAGAAATTGAACCCACTTGGCAATAAGTGAAAGATCGCTGCAACTTCTCCACTTGCTGCCGATCACTACTTCTTGCATTTCTGTAGTTCAATGCACAATAGCGGTCCGGTTTTCATTTTCTATAGGACGGATATCGAAAAGTAGTCCAATGTTTCGACGAGCTTTAGCACCTACATTTACCGCGTGCTCCAAAAAGGTTAGTGAGCCAGGATAGGGAAGACCCAAGTCTTTCATCATACTGTTGTACGTTATTAATATTCCACACCGAATCACGATGCATGGAGCGACTCTACAACTGAATAGTCGAGCACTATACTTTTCCGTTACGAATGATATAGTCCATTCGGTGGACCATAGCTCAAGGCTTTTCAATCCACATCTAATAGCGTTCGTGGTGTGGTCCATATTAGTGACACCAAAGGTGTGTCCGACCGCGTAAGCAACGCTGTAGCTCATCACATCGTTAATATACAGGAACATGAACTGGTGGATCGATAGCACTGCCCTAAAGTACGCCACGGGCCTACGATGTGATTTGTGGCCATGTATACTAACCACTTGTGTTTGGTCTGAGATATATCACCTACACCACAATGACATTGGGTCGCTGATTCCAAGTGATGCGACTTTATTTTTAAGCACGTCACAAGGTACATGATCAAAAGCCTTTTGGATGTTTAGCACAATCACTAGTGCTGATTATTCGCAGTCTAAGGAGAGTGAGATTATTGAAAAAGGCAAGCTGCGATGCCACATATGATCGCGCCTTCAGAAATCCATGTTATGAGTTAGTAACCAGACCTCGTGTCTGCAAGAATTCTACCATTTTTGGGACGATTCGCTTCTATATCATTTTGTATTATAAAAAGTCTGACTAATTGTCTGATAGTTCCTAATATCGTACCTGGATCCCGCTTTGTGACGTGGTCCATTGAGGGTTGTTTTACTTTGTACCAGCCTTTATTGTAAGCGAGGATGAATTAATCAGAAGGATAGGCTTATCTGAATCTCCCCGCTTGTGTGCGACTGAAGGAATCGCATCAGGACCTTCGTTGTCAGGCTGTTTTACTGACTGGATGTTAGAGAGTTAGCCGGAATTTAAGACAGATTGGTTTAGCAAAGAAACATCTGTGGCTTCACTGGGGGACAAGAAGTGTCGGTTCATGGCCCGGTGATGGAGTCATTGGGAAACGTGTTATTTCATTCATCGTAAGGTTTTCGACGTCCTATCAGATCAATCAGCTTCTGGTCTCTATTGTCACCAGGAAGTGCATACTTTTCCTTTACAACTTTTCTCTGATGGCAGATGGTGTAGTGACTTATTGCTGTATGGTGGCACAGTAGCTGAGATGTTTTCCACCTCTAGCTAGCGTGTATAATGATGATAATATTGTTGTCGTAAAATCAGTGGGAAATTAGCTGTGCATCTACATTTTATGTACAGCCTTCGTCTTTCGCGCGATATATTTGTGCTTTATCGGAGAGATCATATCAAAATAGGTTTTGATGTCGGTATAGGGTTAATTAGCAGCGATTTTAGGATCTGTAGTTGGAAGGAATTTGTCTCGTGGGAACAATCTAATAAAAGATGCAACTAGTTGCCAGTCGGTGTAAATGTACTCGTTATGGACGTGTTAACTTGATTTGCCCGTGTTGAATTAAGCGGAAACGCCATCAGCGGATAATCATTGCCGTAAAGATGTTTATTATTTTGGTTGGTTCAATTCAGTTCCGTTGAACAAGTAAGATCCAAGCATCGAAGTGTGGTGGATCCAGTTGCCACCACTCACATAGCAACGGCGAGATAGCAGGGTTGAATGCAAAGAACTTGAAAGCAAAAAGAAAATGCGTTAGACTAAGCAAAGTGGAACGAGAATTGACAGACAGACGCAAGAAACCAAACGCAGAAACGCCACTGACTGCGCCATGTCTGATACGGTCTCCAACCATTGGGGTGGGCCATCCCAAGCCCCTATCCAGGGGGACGACACGCAACCAGCTTAACCAAGTCTTAGACAGTTTCTGCATGCCTCTATACTACATCACGGACTAAGCACCTCGCGGTTTCACCCAACTTGGTGCAGCGCCTATGAAACTGGTCAACGAACATACAGAGGACATGACCTAGCCAATGTAAGAGGTTAAATTTCAGGTGAGGCTTTGGAAGGCCTGTTGCCAGATACCAACTGCCTGACCTCAGCATTGCTCACCCGGTGTTTCCACCGGACGTGAGGCTTTGGCAGATGTATCTAATGTACTCTGTATGCTGATGAGATCGATTATGTGATCCTCTCGTTTTGAGTCCAGCAATTGAAATGAATATGAGAAGCAGAGCCGTACTTTGTAGATGATGTACAATGGTTTATGACGGATAAAGTAGCACAGACGCAACACGTTCCATATTTTGGTAGTAGAAGATATTTAAATTCGAATATTACCTAAGTGGATCATATAAATTACGTATCAGTCATGCTATAAAGCGATCGCATATGGAACTAGGGCTGTGGAAGTGAGATAGTGCTGTGCGAAACGTAATAACGAATTTTTGTGATTTATACTCATTGCAAATTGCATGCAAATCGCTCTCTCTCTCTGCACATCTGCGTGCTCCACTATGCGTCATGATTCCAAAGAAACTAGTTAGCCGATTATATCTAGAATATCCGTTCATGTAACAATTTGTAGCTCGTTCAATTCAATATCCAGTCGTTTTCGAAATAGCTAAGGTGGGGGCACAGCCATCTGAGTTTGGAAGGGCGTTCTAGCGTTGGCAGACCCGGGGGATGAAATACGTTCGTCGACAATCTGACGACTGTATTGTTGGTCATTTGTAATTAG